CTGAAAAGTTTCCAAATAGCCTAAAGACATTTTTGTCTTGTATATTTTATTCCATAAGTATAATCCCTCCACATGCCAGCTGTGTGAGAGCTGGCACCATCGCTGAGGGAAGACAGCAAACAGCAGGAAGCAGCTACAGGCAGTGAGAAGAGACACAACACTGAACAGCCTGAGCCATGGTGGTGATCAGTCGAAGGAAGAAGAAGGAACACTGATGTGATGAACCATGACATCTCCTGAGAATGAATGATCATGGCAGTGAAGTTAAAAAGGTGGGGGGGAGGATGGAAATCCCCTCTCCTTCTCATGCCCTTTCCTCTCCCTTCTCTTTTCCTTCTCCCTCTCTCTCGCTTCCCCTCTTCTTCTCCTTCCTTCATTCCCTTTCTCCCTCTATGTGTGCGCCTTTCTCTCCCTGTTTCTCTCTCTTTCTCTCCCTCAATTCATCTCCTCTTTCCTTCATCCTCCTTCTCTCTCCTTTTATATGTGGCTCCTCCTCCCTCCCCTCTTCTTTCTCCTTTCTTTCTTCCTTCCCTCACCTTCCTCAGTAGCTGTTGGGCCATCTGAAAATAATTTGAAAGTTATCATAGGATTTTTATGATCTGGGGAAAGCACTAGAACCAAAATGGGGGAGGGGCTAACAGCTCTCTTACAAAGGGACCAGTGACAAAGAAATGGGGAGGGACAACATTGCAACAGTGGTAGAGAATCGTATCTCTCTATGACAAGAAAAAAGTATGAAAACAACTACAGATATGACAAAAATGGAATGAGATGATTCAAGAAATAGTGAATTCCCCTATCACTAGAGGTCTTCAAACAGTGACTGGATTACCACTTAATGGGATGATTATTATAGGCACAACTTGTAGTTTGGGGAGGGGTTGGACCAGATCTCAAAGGTCACTTCCAACTCTGTAATTCTATGATTCTCTGAACATCTTAGCAAATGCAGAGCCTGAAAAGATCATGTAGTGTTGGGAAAGAGCAAACCATGCCAGAAAAAAGCAAACTGTGCCAGTGCTGGAGGAGAAGGATTCCCCCAGAAGGCCTCCCAGGACTTTTGTCCACTGATTTCCAGCTATGGAGGATGAAATGAGAAGTGTTTTTTCCCCCACACAAGCCTTTCTCTGTTTCATTTTGCTTGGCTTTCCAAATGTAATTCCACTTCTTATTAAGAACTTGATCGATTTTCTTCTGTATTGGGAAGTAAAAAGTCCAGGCACATGGTTCCTACTCCCTGAAGGCCAGCTTGGTCCTGATCCAGCCTCATAGTCAGGCAATTGGGCTAGGAGGCAGAAGGGGAATGCTGATAGAGGAAAATATCCCTCTGCAGCTTTCACCATAGCAGGAGCAGCTGAAAAATGGAGCTTGCTAATTGGGCCAGCGCTGCTGTTAGGCTACCAAGAGGTGAAGAGAGAACACGGTGTGCTGGAGAAGGAAGGCTGGCCTTGGGATGAGGAAGACCTGGGTTCAAGTCTCATTGTATTGCACACATGGAGGGTGAAGTGACTTCCCATTGGCTTCAAGACTTCTGAATCCCCAGGCTGCCTAAGTGTGAAGATGCCTTGGAGGAGAGAGGAAAAACTCAGATAGAACAACAGACAAAGAATTACTTCTAAGTAAGTGGGTGAGAGGCAATGCATGATCTTCTGAAAAGCTAACAGGATGGGGCAGCTAGGTGGTGCAGTGGACAGAGGTCCTCCTGAGTTCAAATCCAGCCTCAGACCAAACACTTGATGTGTACTAGCTGTGTGACCCTGGGCAAGTCACTTAACTCCAATTGCCTAAAAATAAAATAAAATAAAAAGCTAACAGGAGCCCCAGAGCCAAAGACATGTAGGGAAGTCAGCTGCTGGACATGTTGATACCAGTACTACACCCTCAGAGACTGCTAAGAGCAGGCTTTCCTGGTGAGATCATTCTCCATCTCTCCTCCTTCTCCTTCTCCAAAATCTCTTCACACTTACATAGTATAAAAGGCTCAGAGGTTTCTCAGCCAATCAAGAGTCAGTCCACCCTGCACATAAGCAGAACAAAGAATTCCAGGACATTATTCAAGGACTCACTACTCTCCCCAGCCTGGGTCAAGGAAGTATTATTACATAAAGAAGAAATAGAGAGAGGCTGAAAGATATGAGGCAGTTATTTCCATGATAACTGCCCTTGAGCCTCCTTCCCTTACACCATCATTGTGTACGTGTGTGTATGAGTGTGTGCTGTGTGTTTTTAGGATTATCTGTATTGGTCAGGATTCCTGCTGCTCCAGTATTCCCACACACTGTGAACCAGTATGAGAAGCAAGCAATGATGAATCAGAGGAGTCACAGCTGGTCTAGCATGGCTGGTCTGAGTTAGACCAATGGAGCATATTTCTTGCTTCCAAGAGCAGTGGTCTCCAATCTTTTTTGATATATATGTATTATGGTACTAGTAATTATGTATGTTATAAAAACATAGGCCAAAAAATCAAAAAAGCATGAGGTAAAAAAGAAATAATATTTGATCTTAGAGCTAATAGGAAGCCACTAGAATTTACCTAGTAGTGGAGCAACATGTTTAGAGCTGTGAGTTAGGAAAATTATTCTGGGAGCCCTGTGGAGGATGGATTGGAGAGACAAAAACTTGAGACAGAGCGATCAGTTAGGAGACTGGGGCAATAGTTCAAGTGAGAGGTGATGAGGTTCTGAACCTGTGTCTGCTATGTGAGTAGAGAAGGGAACATATGAAAGAGATGTTCTAGAGAAAGAAATTTCAAGATTTGGCAACTTGAATATGTGCTGAAAGTAAGAATAAGGAGGCGAGGACAACACTGATTTTGAACCTAGATGACTAGAAGGCTTGTGGTGCCTTTGATAGAAACAGGGATATTCAGAAGAAGAGTAGGTTTGGGGGAGAAAGATAATGTAATGAGAAATGTGATTCAGATGGCAATTGGATTACATGCCTGTTAATATTGGGTGATTCACTCTGCCCACTGAAAAATGAAACGGGGGCTGGACTCTTATTCATCAGCCACTGCACTGGTGCAAAAAACCCTGCCCCACCAAGGGACACCTGCCACAGCCTCACAGTGACTTAGCAGGCAGGCTGTAAGTACATTGTGGAAGGATGAGGAATTTTTCCTATTCAGTTGCTGGTGTGGGTGTCTGGAAGAAGTTATGTTATAAGTGCTCTAAAGGGCCTATGCTTGGTAGAGGACAATTGAGGGTGAGGGCTTATGTAGCCAGAAGAGGCCTGCAGCAAGAAGGTGTGGGGTGGTAGAGTGTGGGGCCACACCAATGAAGGTGATGATGTGTCTGTGTTGAAGACAAGTCCCTCAGTTGGGCATCCCAAAGAGCGTAGGATGTCATTTCCAATCAGCTGATCATGGAACCCTTGGGATCATGCCAAGGCCTCCACTTTAGAGACTACTGTCCTAGAGAAGAGTCTTTAGGCGTAAAGAACAATATAGCACCCTGGAACTGTGGGTCTGGTCCAACACATCACACAACACTCTGGTCCTGAGGATGTTAAGGCATCTGGTTCAATTAGGTGCTGCTTGGTGAGGCCATTATGACATGGGAACAATATAGCCTATAGTGACAACTAAAATTGATACATTGCTTTAAGATTTGCAAAGTATTTTAATTACCTAATTTCATTTGATCCTTACAACAACCACAAAATAGGTACTATTCTTATCCCCATTTTATGGACAAGAAAACTGAAAGTAGTAAAAAGAGAATTGTACTACAAATCATAATATTTGGATTCTAATTCAAGTTTTTCCACAGACTTGATGGTTCAATGTTGGGCAAATCAATTCCCCTTTCTAAACTCCAGTTTTCTCATCAGTAGGAGAAGGTTGAACCAGATGACCTCCAAGTTCCCTTTCTAGCTCTGACAATCTGTTCTTCTGTAGAATATGGCTGCCTCAAAACTGGAAACTCTACCTTCTCCATTGAAGCAAGTCACCCCACACTCAGATCCTCCACTTGGTTCTGCAATTGCCTCATTTCCACAGGGTTCTTCTAAACTGGGGAATACCTTCCCTGAAGCCACCCCAGCCCAGACCCACACCCTGAGCCAGGTACCTCCCTTGGCTCTTTGATCCTCACTGCTCATTACCCAAAGAAGTAGAAAGTGAGACTCCCGCTGACTGGCAGATGCGTAAACATTCCCGCGGCTTCTTCGTGCCCTTTACAATCATTTGCTATATTTAAGCTATCGTCACTTCCCAAACTTCTTAACTTCCTTATTTTTCCTGTTGAAGCAGACAAAACACTCAGAAGCTTAGCTATTTTTGAATCATCACTAATTGCATCTCCTGTCTTTTCAAGTAGTATATTTTCTTTCTAGTGTTTATTTTCTTCCAGACACATTTATAAAATTCCATCTTACTCCTACTTGCCCTTTTGGTCTCATTTAACCATCTGGTTGGTGTGTATATCTGGGTTTCTTTTTCTTGTAGCCTTAGTATATTGTCATTTTCTTGACCAAAGAGGAAATATCAGCAGAAGACAGAGTACTGGACTTGAAATCAAAAGGATCGGGGTTATAGTCACAAAACTATGTGAAACCAGGGAAGGTGCTTACCTTCTCTGCAGCCTGACCGTCTCATCTGAAGAATGGGGATGACAGTACTCATGCAACCACTCACACATGATTTGTGTGAGGTGAAAATCTCCAAGTGCTATAGAAATACCCACTATTACAATTTCTCCACTCTCTCCTCACAGGATTAGGATGAAGGCTCCTTTTGCCTATTGTCCTTTTTCAGAGGAACCAAAGTGTCCTAAAAGACTTACTTAAATAAAAAAGTGAACAGAGTTATGAAAACTATGGAAAGAGTTTTAGGGGGAAGGAGTTTTTGGTACAGAACTTTCCTCTCAAAGGCCCTGATCTACAGTGAGCTTGGGATGAAACTAAATGAACATTTTGTCCAACATTTTCACATGCAAAGGTATAATCAATTCATTCCATTTTTTTTCTCATATTCAAAAACTAGAAAGGTCCTTTACCTGACAGCACAGTGAAGACAGCAGCAAAGGCGTTGAGCTTGAGCCCATCTATGACGTTACTGGAGTGGAAGAGCTCTAGACACATGAGACTGAATCCGACGACCAAGAGAAGGATATATAACACTTCCGAAACCACAGACAACCAAAGCACACCTGCAACATACAAGCACAGAAGAACAAGCCTCTTCAGTGACCTCCTCTCCCACAACTGGAATATTAGGAGCATGGAATCTTGACTACCCAGGACCTCCTCCTTCCCCATCCTCCCCGAAACCACACCCCACCATCACCCCTCCTGAGTTTCAAAGCTGCATTGAGCCTCACAAAACAAAACAAAAAAACTAAAACCTCTGAGCCAGATAGGGAGTACTGATGAAGATCGATGTTCTGAGATAAAGAAAAATACCAGGTTACCCAGCACGAATACCTTCTTTTCTCCCTGCCCCAGATAAGAAAGTGTTATATCCAAGTCATTCAGACAAATACCTCAAAAAGGGAAGGGCTAGTCCTCATCACCCCAAGGGACAAACCTTAGTCTATTTATAACTCACTCCCCAAACAGGGATGGGCTAGTCCCTAAGTCACCCAGAACTAATCCCTCAGACAAGAAGACCAGCCTTTGACAATTCAGAACTCACCATCACCCAAACAGGGAAGAAGAGCCCTCATCCCCCACCACAAAGGAGGGCAGGATTAGCATTAGGTTACTTGGAACTTCCTAAATAAAGCAACCCCACCACCACTACCACCACCACCACCTGCCCTGAAAACAAGGAAGGGACCCAGCCCAAACAAGGAAGTCTAGGATCATTCAAACCAGCACTCCAAAGGGAGAGGGGCCACCCTTAGGTTACTCAGAGCAACTCTCTTAAACAGAGAACAGCCACCAAATCACCTTGAACTGACTCCCTTCACTGGGAGGTTACAGTCCCTAGGCACTCAGAACCAATCACTGAAACAGGAAGAGTCAACCCCAACTCACAAAATCACCTACTACAGAATTTCTGAATTGGAAGATGCCTGAGTGGCCAACCTATACATGAAAAAAAGAATCCCCTTAACAATGTGAGAGCCCATCAAACATACTTCAAAACAGCAATTACATCTCTTTTTAGTCTTCTCTCCTCAGGCTGTCTCTAGTTGCTTCAGCTGATCCTCCTATATCCTCCTAAAGGTCAAGGTCCTTTAACATTTTATTGTCTTCCTTTGTACACTCTCTAGCTTACCAATATATTCTTAAAATATGGCCCCCTGAAGAACTCAGTACTGCAGATGTGGCCTGATCAGAGAAGAGGACAGGAGGCTCATTACACTGCCTCTCCATGCAGCTTAAGATCATGTTGACTTTTCTTTTTCTTTTTTTTGGTGAGGTATTCGGGGTTAAGTGACTTGCCTAGGGTCACATAGCTAGTAAGTATCATGTGTCTGAGGCTGGATTTGAACTGAATTTTAGTAAGGTCCTCCTGATTCCAGGTGCTCTATCCACTGCCCCACCTAGCTGCCCCTTTACTTGACTTTCTTAGCTGCCATTACTACACTGCTGATCCATATTGAGCTTGTAGTCCACTAAAGCCCCCAGATCTTCTTTCAGGTGAGCTATCCACAAAGTTATAACTATTTTTGTAATAGTACTAAGATGTTTTAATTTCTCATGTGGTAGATGTCAGTAGACATGACCAATACAAACAAAAACTCTTGGGGGGGGGTCCTCGATAATTTTTAAGAGTATAAAGGGAACTGCAGAGCAAAAAGTTCAAGAATAGGGTAAGGGAACAGTCCATCACCAATTACCTCTCCAGAACTTTGTCTTGGTCTCCAAAAAGCCCCTTTGAGTAAGTGATCTGAGCACTTGAAAGATTGCCCAGATACCTCTGTTCTATGCCTAGCTCCCCTGGGGGTTCTATACATCCTTAAATAAGTTCTTTGTACCTCGATTCCTCCATCTACGAAGTAGCAATAACTTCTGCTACCCTGCTGCCTCTCAAGAATACTGTGGGGAATCACAGAGATTCTATGAGTCCAGGTACATCGAGGAAAACTTGATTCTTTACAAGAACAGAATCGCAGACTGTTTATGTGTGGGAGAAAGGGCAGTTTAGTAGTAACACCACTTGGTCTGGTGAAAAGAAGGCCTGGGTTTGAATCCCAGCTCCACTATTTACTAGCTATATGACTTTGACCAATCTACTTGACTCTATGGGCCTCAGTTTTCTCCTCTATAAGATGAAAGGATTAGAGTAGATGACCTCTAAGCTCCGTTCCCACTCTGAATCCTCCTAACCCTCTCATGTTAGCAAAGCAGAACCTGAATCCCAGAGAGATGAAACTTACATTGCTAGAATGTAAGCTCCTTGAGGGTAGGCACCACTTTTTTAATCTTTTTTTTAAATTTTAGACTTAAATACATTATGCAAAAAAGAGACATTATAAAATATATATAAAATGAGAAAAGAAAAAAACATCATGTGCACAGCAGAATATAAGAGAGGATTCAAAATACGTATCAATAAATTTCCATCTCAAGAAAGCCTATATAACAGATACTATGTATTGTGTCGAGAGCCGTCCATCTCTTTTTCACTTCTTTGTAGGTTTTCTTTTGTTCTCTTTTGTTCTTTTTCTCACTTTCTCCCCCACCCCCACAAGAAGGCTACAATTAAGCATGGATATATTTTTATATAGATTTATATGTATACATATATAGCTGCATACACATACGTATAAACATATGCTTTTCCTAACAGATTCTACTCCTAATCTTTATTTTTATATTTGTGCATATCTCTTATTTCCTATCCCTCCTGACTTCTTTACTTTACTTCTACCTGCTACCTTGCCCTCCTACTACTTAACCTGCCCCCCTCCAACAATCCCTCCCTTATCCTTCTATTCCCATAAATCTAAACACCCTATTATATGCTCCTTTGACTATTCCCTTACCCTCCCCTCTAGACATCCCTCCCTTATCCTCTTGCCCCTCCCTATCCCCTTGGCATTTTATTTCTTTCTAAATTTAGAATGCTTTTATACTCTTCTAGATGTATATGCATTGTTCCCTCTTGAACCCATTCCAGATGAAAGTAGGTTTCCAGAACTAACAGCCCTCCTGCCCCATCTAATTTCTTTGTATTGGTTCTTCCTCTCATTTGTATAAGATAATTACTCTTTTTAGCTGTTCCTGAACAGTTTTACTTTTTGAAATTATATCATGCTCAGGTCTACCACAATCTTTCTTATGAGCTATTCAACTACTAATGACAATCTTAGACATACATTTTACATACATAAAAAGTAAACAGTCTGTCCCTATTAAATCTCCTGTAATTGGTTTTTGGTATGTACCTTATGTTACTCTTGGCTCTTATATGTCAAATCTTCTATTAAGTTCAGTTGTTTTTTTAACAAAGTCCTGAAAGTCTGACAATTCATTAAACATCCATTGTCTTTTCATTCAGAATTATTCTTAGCTTTTCAGCCTGAAGCCCACTATTGATATATAGTGTTCCAAGACCTGTGGTCTTTTAATGTCATCACGGCTAGGTCTTGTGTGGTTCTAATTATGGCATCATCATATATAAATTGTTTTCTTCTTGTTTGTAATATTTTATCCTTGAGCTGAGAGTTTCAGAATTTGACTATAATATTCCCGGGGGTTTTCCTCATACATAGGATCTCTTTCAGGTGGTGATAGATGGATTTTTTCTATTTCTACTTTCTCCTCTTGTTCTAATGCTTCAGGACAATTTTCTTTAATTATTTCTTGTATTATTATATCAAAGATTCTTTTTTTATCATAGCTTTCAGATAGTCCAATATTCTTATGTTTTTTCTTCTTGATCTGTTCTCCAGATCAGTTGTTTTTCTTATGAGATATTTCACATTCTTTTCTATTTTTTCATTCTTTATAGTTTGTTTTATTATTTCTTGATCCCTTATAACTCCTCTGGCTTCCCCTTGCCTAATTCTGATTTTCAAGGAGTCATTTTCTTCCTTCAGATTCTGGATCTCCTTTTCTATTTGGTTTACTTTCTTTTCATTATCTTCTTGTTTTTCTTGGTTTGTTCTGGGGGTTTTTTGTTTGTTTGTTTGTTTTTTCCCTCAATCTCTTTCATTTGATTTTTAAAGTCTTTTTTAATTCTTCTATGAATCTTTTTGGGCAGGTGACCATTTGACATTACTCTTTGGGGCAGAAGGTTTCTTTGCTTCAGTATCCTCCTCTAAAGACAAACCCTGGACATCTCTATTCCCATAGAAATTCTCTGTAGTTGGATTCTTTCTCCTTTGGCTGCACTTTTGTTTTTGGTAATAGTTTAATTTTTATAATCACCTCTAGTCCTGGGGTATAGGTATGATGCCTCCTTCAGTTCTCCCTTCTGACCTTGAACCCAAACCAAGACCTCCAGCCTCCTGTAAGTGCCCACAACCAGTGGCATAACTGCCCCACTGCTTCTACACTCATCGGGTGTTAGCTGGTTCCTTCTCACCCTGCCTCATCTCTGCAGCACATCTGGGTCTGGCATTTTTCGTCAGCAGAGGTTCCCTTGATCTTCCCTGCTCAGATGCCCAATTCCCCTCACCTATCCCAGGGGTAAAAGTTCCTGTGGCTGAGGCCTGGGGCCAAGACAGCCTCCCAACCCAGATAACCCCAGGGCTTGCTGCTTGTTTAAGCAGTCCCTAGCCTGGAGGTGTCTACTCTTCACAGGGACCAAAACTCATTCTGGGATTTTTCTTCAGATCTTCTCTACTGTCCCAGGAGGTCCACCGTTCTGTCCCTACTCTTCGTTATTTTCACTGCTCGATGTTTGCCCTGAGGTGCTATTTTATCTTTTTTGTGGAGGAAATCTTGAGAGCTTGGAATTTTCTGACCTACTCCACCATCTTCTCAGAATCCTCTCCCTAGACACCGTTTCATCTTTTTATCCCCAATGCCTAGCATATTGCCTGGTACATAGCAGGTGCTCAATCAATGCTTGCAAAATTAAATCAAAAGTAACTTGTCCAAGGTTAGTGGCCAGGTCTCCAGAATTCCAAGTCAACCTTCTCACAACTATGATCATGCTCCTTTGCCAGCTTCACATCCCATAGGAAGCAATGGCAAAGCAAGGCTCCTTTTAGACTTTGAGGGGCCCACACTGCAAGCATTTAAGGTATCAGCAGAGTGGACAGGCAGGTAGCAGAGACCTACCCTTTGTCCCTTGCCTCTCTCTCTTCTTTTTGCCACACATTCATCTACATGCAAGAAAGGAAGAATCCTCAGAGCTCTTTGGTGTATTTTTGGCATACAGCTATTGACTAGATTGTAACCAAACCTTCAGAGAATGAAAATGGGAAGCATATGGAATAACTGACCCATCAGGAAGCATTTATTAAGCACCTACAATGTGCCAGGCACTGTGCTAGGTGCTGAAGATATAAATTCAAAGAATGAAACAATCCTTACCCTCAAGGAGCTTACATTCCATTTAGGGAGACATAAGTACATATATAAGTATGTACAGAATAAAGACTAATCAATCAATCAACCAATATTTATTAAGTGCTGATTACGTGCCAATACTGTCTGTGCTCAGTGCTAGGGATACAAAAAGAGGCAAAAGACAGTCCCGGCCCTCAAGGAGCTTACAGTCTAAGGATAAATACATATCAGTGAATACGAGGTGGTTAGGGAAGGGGGGCACTAGCAGGTGTGGGGTAAAGGAGGGTACATGGGGTACATTAAGCCTTTAGATTTAAGCTAGGGTGAGGTCTCTGAATTAGGGGTGCAACTCCTGGATGGAGCCTAATGACATTAGCTAACTCAAATGGTATTGTCCTTGTTCTAAGGAGCTTAGCAACAGGGCTGAGAATGTTTTGCCAAGAGAATGGAAGTTCTCGATAGTATTGGGGACTCTGAAAGAACAAAACAGGGGTGGAAGCTTCTGCTAGTCTAAGGGCAAGAGTCTTTCTCACTTTATTGTTTTATTAACTGAATAAAGCCTGTAGGCTTTAAGTTAAGAAAGGCTGGCAGCAACCTAGCTGGGGGTTTCAGTTGAGCCAGAACCTGAAGGCATACAAAGCAGTGTCTAGTAGAGATATATCCGGCAGTAAGCACACCTGTCTGTCAGAGACCATGTGACCAGTGTTAATAAGAGCAGCATGGTGGCATCACTGGTGTTCCTACGGTTTATGAGGTATGAGTTGTCCCTCATACATAAATGTCTTGGGTCCCTAGGTATGTCCCTAGGTATGTCTCCTGACCTCACATTTCCCACATGTGTTCTCTCTGTGTCAATTCTCCCACTTACGCCGTGTGTATTTGTGGGAGAGTGCTTCCAGCAGCTAGGTGGTGCAGTGGATAGAGCTCTGGGCCTAGAATCAGGAATAACTGAGTTTAGATCTGGCCACAGGCACCTACTAGCGATGTGAGTGTCACTTCACCTCTATTTGTTCCTATTTCTTCACCTGTAAAATGGGGATAATAACAGCACCTACCTCAAAGGGTTGTGTGAGGATCAAATGAGATAATATGTATAAAGCATTTAATGCAGTATCCGGCACATAGTAGGTTCTTTATAAATGCTTATTCCTTTCCCCTTCTTCATTCCCCTCCTTTTCTCCTTTCACCCTTATTATTCCATTTCATTAAATCACTTTGCTTTGAACTGTGTTCTTTGGCTTGTTATTAAGGATAATCACATTGGCAGGGACTCCTGAGTTATAATTTTAAGTGTATGTACCCACAGAGAACATTGGACCTTGAGTAGTTAGTTATCCACTGGAGGACCTGGAACAAATAGAGAAGAAGGAAACATTCAGATAGCCAAACCCAGCTGACTCCTAAAGCATGACCTGTGGAGAAGATGCCTCATACCCTCCCAGTAGGCTCAGGAATTTAATGTCCCAGTGGTGGGAGATCACAATCCAAACGCATTGTGCTCTGAATGGACATCTTGTATGACCTAACAAATGTGGACTGAACATGTCCAAGGGCCAGGAGCGTCAACACTTCTGCCCAGTCTGATATGGCCAGCCTATATCTCGGGAACCTTAGCTGCAATTTCCACCATGTTGAGGGATTTTAAGTCACAGGAGAAATCATTTTTTTGTGTGTGCGTGCATATAAAAATATCACATCTCCTGGGCACTTCCCTGGATTTCTGCACTAGAATAATGTGCTCCTGGCAACCTAAATTCTGTTAAAACACCCACTGGCACCATACACCCACAGCAGCAGAGACCTCTTCTGGGCATAGCTCCCATTAGCTACTGAAGAGACAATGCCTGAAAAATTTAGGGTCATCCCTGCACCATCCCCACGTGAAGTGTGAAATTCAAAGCTGGCACCACCCCCTTCTCTTAATAACAGGATTCTTCCTCTTCAACCACATCCACTCTATGGTGGCTGTCAATGCAGACAGACAATAGGATAAAAACCAAATAATTGCCTGTGCCTCAGTGAATGATCTCTTTCTTCCACTACACCCCCCTTCCTTCTTCTGGGACTATTGGGGACCTTTGAGACTCCTCCTCCTCTCCCCTTGCCCCCACCCTACTCCAGTTCTCAGCATTACTCTTACCACAACTTCTCTTGATGCTTGCTGTGACTGCCTCCCAAGCTTTCACAAAGCCCTTCTTATTACCATCCCCCTGCAAACAGGCCTACCCATTCGTCTCTCCCAACCACATCGTAACCCTGGATGTACTCCATGACACAGTCATCCTCCTCTTTCCACCCCCTTCGGGACACATTCCATTTCCCTCTCTTCTTCATACTTCTTCCCAGTTCCCTAGAACTGGACCACTTCAATTTAAGATACTTTAACACCAGAGCTAGAATACTGAATGTTCAGCTGGAAGGGCTCTTGGAATATAGCACACCAGCAGTACTAGGAGTCTTAGAACCCAGAATGACAGAGGTAGAAAGAACCTTAAAAGTAATCTAGTTCATACGCCCAAAGGGCTACAAAAATGTGCATACCCTTTGACCCAGCAATAGCACTTCCAGGGCTATATCTCAAAGAGATCATGCAAATGGGAAAAGGACCCACATGTACAAAAATATTCATAGCACCTCTTTTTGTGGTGGCAAAGAATTGGAAACTGAGAGGTTGCCCATCAATTGGGGAATGGCTGAGCAAGTTGTGGTATATGAATGTAATGGAATACTATTGTGCTATAAGAAATGATGAACAGGTTGACTTCAGAAAAACCTGGAAAGATTTATATGGTCTGATGCTGAGTGAAGTGAGCAGAACCAAGAGGACTTTGTACACAATAACAGCCAAGTTATGCGATGACTAATATTGTTAGATTGAACCCTTCTCAGTATTACAAAGATCTAAGACATCTCCACAGGCCTCGTGATGGAAAATGCTGTCCACATCCAAAGAAAGAACTATGGAAGTTGAATTGCTATCACTTATTTTTACCTTCTGTTGAATTTTGTTTCATCTTTTTGATGGTTCCTCCTATTGTTTTTAATTTTTACTTACAACTTCACTAATGTGAAAATATGTTTAATAGGAATGTAAATGTAAAACCTATATCAGATTGTGTGCCATCTTGGGGGGGGGAGGGGGAGAAAAATTATCAACTCAAAAGAATATGGAAGTGATTGTTGATAAATCAAAATAAATTAATAAAATATGAAAAAAAATGAGGGAGAGAATAGATGTGAAGACACTTTAAAAAAAAAAGTAATCTAGTTCAGCTTCTTCATTTTGCAGATAAGGAAAATGTGTCCCAGAGAGAGGAAGGCTGTCCCAAATCTTCCTCTACACTATCTTGTTTGGTGATCTATATCATTTGTTATATGGGGTGGCTCTCTGAGAGGGCAGAGACAAGGCATACTGAAGGAAATTTTGGTGACATAAAAAAGATAATAATTAAAATTATTTTAAAAAAAGAATCAGATTCTTTTTGGTTTTAGAAAGCTCTACCATTTATTGTCAATGAGCTGGGGTATTTCTGCCACAATGCTTCTTGCCCTTATTAAAAGAACCAGTTAGGTGGGATTTAGAAATATGGTGTTCAACAGATTCTTAGTGACATGACTAACTGCTTTGCTCAGACCTCATCAGAGAGAAAAAGCTGTAGGACAAATTCTCCAGCCTGGTCAGCCTACTTAGCCCAGTTGGTTCAGTCCTTTCTTCCATGTCCATAGTACCATAGGTTGGGAAGCACCACTAACTGTAGCCAAGAGAACTGAGTTTGATTTGAGTGGCTTTCTTTCAATGCCTTCCATAACACAGCCTAGGCAGGCAAAGACTGCCCACCCCCTTTTCAGTACTCCCTCAGTCCCGATTCCTTGCAGATCTAGGCTGGGGCTGGGCCTATATTCAAAATTTTGAGGATAAAGAAATTGTGGGGCTCTGTTTTGGGTTAGCACCTACCTGGAAGGGACCTTAGAGGATGCCTAATCTTATCCTCTCATTATACAGAGCAAGAAATTGAGACCAAGAAAGGAAAAGTGACTCCCACAGGATAGCACAGCCAGTTAATCAATCAATCAGCAAGGATCTATTAAGCACCTACTAAGTCCCAGGCACTGTGTTAAGTACTGGGGATACAAATGCAAAACTGAAATAGTCTCTGTTCTCAATGAGCTTGTATTCTGTTGGGGAAGATGTGTGAGTGTGTGTGTGTATGTGTGTTTGGGGGGTGTCTTCTGGAGTATGATTCCACTGTTTTCCAGAATGGCTGGACCTATTTACAACTCCACCTACAGTGTATTGAGGTGTCTGACTTGCCACAGTCCCTCCATTAATCAGGATTTTCCCTTTTTGTCATTTTTGGCAACCTAATAAGAGTGAAGTAGAACTTCAGGGCTGTTTTTAATGTGTATTTATTTTATTATTAGTGATGTGGAGTATTTTTTCATAAGACTATTGAAAGCTTGCATTTCTTCTTCTGGAACATGCCTATTCACATCCTTTGATGATTTGTCCATTGGGAAATGGATCTTGTTCTTGCTATAAGGAACTCTTGGATGAGGGAACTTATTCTACCACGTCAGCATCTTTTCTGCAACTTACAATCTTAGATAGTTGCCCAAAGCACTGAGATGTTACGTGATTTACTCTGGTGACACAGCCAGTATGTGGCAGTAGTAAAACCTCAATCTAAATCTTCTGGACTCTGAGACTGGCTCTCTATCCAATATACCAGGGTGGGGAAACTTCGGCCTCAAGGCCACAGATGGCCCCCTGGGTCCTCAAGTGTAGCTTTTTGGCTTAATCCAAATTTTATAGAACAAATCCTTTTATTAAGGGGATTTGTTCTGTGAAGTTTGGATTCAGTCAAGGGGCCGCACTTGAGGACCTAGAGGGCCACAGGTTCACCACCCAGTGTCATTATGCCTTGCTGTCTCTCCTTTGTTGTCATTTATTTACATAAATTCTATCTAATATCTTGGATATTAGCCCTTCGTCAGAGGAATTTTCTGCAAATATTTTTCCTAAATAATTATTTCTCCTGTGAGTCTAACTGCATTGATTTGGTTTGTGCAAAATCTTTTCAATTATACGTAATCAAAATTGCCTGTTTTAGCTCCTGTGGTCATTTCTATCTCATCTGATAAAAAAACAAACAAACCACAAAACCAGAAACAAAAACCTCTTCCCTTTCCCTTCTTTCGTTTATGATCATATCTAAGTCATTTATCCCTTTGGAGCACAGTATGGTATAATGCATGAGATATTTGTTTTAAACTAGTTTCTACCACACTGCTTTCTGATTTTCCTATCAGTTTTTGGTCAAATAGTGAGTCCTTACCCTGGTAGTTGGTGTGTGTGTGTAGGTTTACTAAATACGATGCTGCTACATTTGATTGCTTCTGGAACTAGTGCCCTTAATTGTGTCACTGATCAACTTTTCTACTTTTTAACTAGTATCGAATAGTTTTAATAACTACTGCTTTGAAGTGAATTTTGAAATTTAGTACTAATAGGTTCCCTTCCTTATCATTCTCCTTCCACCCATTATCTTCTTTGAGATTTATCTTTTTCCTCTAGACGAATTTTGTTACTGTTTTTTCTAATTCAATAAAGTAATTTTTTGGTAATTTGACTAATATGACACTGAATCTGTAAATTAACTTAGATAGCATTGTAATATTTATTATATGCGCATGGGACAACCATGAGCAAATTAATCTATCTCCAATTATTTAAGGCCTGTGTGTGTCTTGGTA